CGATGCCGATATATCTGCGTCAGGCTCATATCGGCCGATAAAATATGAAAATATCCATATCGGCAGACTGATAAATCGGTCGGGCTCTAGTTTGCAACAAAATAAGGGTGAGTACATTTTGACACAATTTTCATTTTTGGGTTAACTAGGCCTATCCATTTAATATTTCCCTCAAGAAATATCTTGTTTGGCTCTTAAAGTTTAACTACATATCTGGGATTCATTTCTCTCACACAAAGCAACTTTGAGAAACTCGTATATAAACACTACAGGTGTGCAATTTTCACACACATGCTCAATAAACATACATTCTTGTTATTATTATCTTATTATTCTTATTATTATCAATGTTGAAAACAGTTGTGCTGCTTATTATTTTTATGAAAACCGTGATGTATTTTTTTCAGGATCCTTTGATGAATAGGAAGTTCAAAAGAACAGCATTTATTTGAAATATTTTTGTAACATTATAAATGTCAGTTATTTTTGATTTATTTAATGCCTCTTTGCTGAATAAAAGTAACAAATACTAATAACATTGGTTTTGAAACGGTAGTGTATACACCAAGGCAAGCTGTCTGACCAAGATACATGGGGTGCTTCTCATTGTTCTTATTCTGTGTTTCTCAACCATAGTCCTGGAGCTCCCCCAACTTGGAGTGAACATGGAATGAACTAGTTGTGTCAAATAAAGGACACATACACACTGTGCAGTGTTAGGGGTGCTCAAGGACCAGGATTGGTAAACAGTGCTTCCTTATCTTGCAGCTCTGTCATCCAGCCTGTGACCTGGAAATTGACACTTTAGTCATCTAAATGCAGATATGCACAGTCATCAGTAAATGGCATCACTTTAAAGTGATGCTTCAGTGAATCTTGCTTTGATTCCTCCTTCTTCACATCTCATCCTAGCATCCTTTCCTTAAGAGGCAAATCCCAAAGAAAAGATATGAGGAAGAGACACAAGAACACACAATAGGAATGAGAAAAAAACAAAGAAGTGAAGAGATGTGTGGCCAAGTATGATGTCCCATACTCGGAATTTGTGCTCTGCATTTAACCCATCCAAGTGCACACACACAGCAGTGAGTAGTGAACAAAAGGCACGTTTCCATTACTCTTCAAATTGCGCAAATTGAAATTGCGAATTTAAAATACGCCAAATGGAAACGCGTCAATTTCGCAAAAACGCCCATATCGCAAAAATGTTTTTACGCTTGCATGAGGTGGTTTTTCAGGCAATGCGAAAAAGGAATAATTCGCAAAACTGCAATGGAAACGTTTTTTTCGCATTTACAGGTCACATGGCGTATGTAAAAAGTCATATGATCATTCTTCAATGTACCTCCAAGAAACAGTTCATACGTGGCCGCTCTCCAGTATAAGGGGCTTTCCTACGATTAATGCTTAGACAATTTACACTGCACACGTCTGCGGTGCAGTGTGGCTCTGATACGGCCACTGAAGCTGATTACGGCCACTCTAGTCAATGCTTGTGCTTATTCCAGCCGCGCCACGCACGTTTCTGAAGCGGCGCTCTGTGCTGCTTCTGTAAAGACACACGCATATGCCTCCTTTGAATAAATCTAGCCAAAATCCGTTCAAATCCCACCAAAATCCGATGGCATGACTTATCGCGAGAGGCAAAAGTTTATGTTTTAGTCGCATAACATTGGTTAATGGAAACGCAGTCATTTCGCAATACTTTTTTATTAACATTTATAAAATATCGCCAAAGTTTTGCGCAAATCTGATATATGCAATTACTTTTAGCAGGTGCAGTTTTTCTCTTTCGGGAAAATGTACCAAAATGTTTGACTAAAAATTTAAGAATTATATTTATCAAGTCTTTAGCTTCAGACCCTTATTTCATAAAAAAAGGAGAAGTTAGGATAATCAGGATTGCAAATCATCTGTTTTGAAAGTCCATTGTATTTTGGGTCATCATTAATAAAATGGCACCACGAATTGGTTCCCATACAGAAAGTATTTGAGGTTAATTTATACACATTTTGAATCAGTCACTGTGCAACACTGGGACTGACATTATATATTATGCCTATATTATTTTTATTGGTTTATACTGTGATTAAGTCCAGATTCAAGCTTTAGCGATGCTGTAAATATTAAAATAGAATTACAGGAAGCTCCCTGATATAAGTCTGTTTTTAGAGATTCTACAAGCATATCATCCAAAGAATTTAACTGTAAAATAATTGAAGGGATAGTTCACCCAAAAATAAAAATCTGAAATAATTTGCTGTCATTTACTGTCCCAAAATATACTATCTCTTGTGTAACACAAAAGAAAATATTTTGAGAAATTGTTTTAGAATGGAAATCAATGGCAACCAAAACTGTTTGGTTACCAACATTGTTCAAAATATCTTCTTTTATGTTCAACAGAAGAAAAAAATCATACAGGTTTAGAATAACACGAGAGATGATGAGAGAATTTTTCATTTTTGGGTGAGCTGTCCCTAGAAGTTTATGTTGAACCCTTACAATACCAACTGTAATTCACTTTTTAGTGTTGTTGGGTAGGGATGCACCGATACCACTTTTTCCAGTAACTTGCTTCTTCTAAATGCTCAGATCATAAACTTAAAAGTAATAAACATGCTGCTGCTAGAGAGAGGAAGATCCACATAGCAGATCTAGGCAGGTGGTGCTGGGGAGGCGGTGGGCTAATATGAAGACATGCATAGCACACAGACAGAGCATTCATTGAATACGTCCTGATTACATAGGTAAACAGTAATGAGAGTATGTGAATCCAATTGGCTGGGAACACTGAATTGAACAAACCAATTAGAACGTGAATAGAGATTCATGGCTGAACTATTCATTTTTTGAATCATGCTCATTATGAATTTATGTGGTGTAAAAAAAGAGGTGTCCTTTTGTGTTCCACAAACAAAAAAGGGTGGGTAGATAATAACATAATTTTCAGTTTACAGAAAATTATCTGAGGAATGTGTGATTCGATTGGACTGGCCAAATTAGACTTGAGAATAGGTGCTTCTTTCACAGTGCTTCAGACA